TACCCCAAGCACCGCACCCCCCTCCACCCCCTCAACCCCTCCCCCCCCCTCCCCCCATCCGTTCCAGCCAGCAACCACACATCCTTAGGCATTATCAAAAATCGCTTACAACATAGAACATTTTATATCCAGTGTAAGTAGAATTATCCCCGGTGTAAATATTTCTTAACCCTGTAGTGGAAAGATAAACCGATAAACGAGATGAGAGGTGAGAGTTTGGAAGGAGACTTTCTATGTTAGTGTGTGACTTGAGTGATTGATACTTTATTTCAACGTGTATAAAAAAATGATTGACTGAAATCTTCCCTAAGTACCCGGTTGTTTGATTAAACAAAAAGCCAATTCAAATGTGTATTTAAGAATCAATAAATCTACTTTTGCTTTACATAAAATATTATTTTTTTCAACTGGAAAAAAGCCAACAGAAAAGGGAATTTTTTGACGTGGTGTAAATCCCGTACAAATGTACAATGCAATAGCGGTGCAGTGACGAAACAAAAAGCTCGCTCTTTGAATAAACACAATCGTTTCTTGGTTGCCATCTGTGTTCTCCTTCTGCCTGCTCAGACATGTCACCAGTCAGGTGACGGCAAACCAAGGTATTAACTTCAACATCGTGCAATTTTATTACTTTTCTTTTCAAATCAAGAAACGGAGAAAAAATAGAAAAAACATGCTAAATCTTGCCCGAAGAGATAACCCGTACGTAATAAAAACGCACATTGCTTGTTTGCGTTTAGACAATCGAATAAAAAACGATAAAAAGTGATCGCTGGATGAAAGAAAAGTTTGTATTTACCTTCCTATTGGGTAGGCTAGAGCCTGGGGAAGGCGACCTTTCCTCTGGCATCATGTTTTACTTTGATTGCTGGGTAACACCCCTGTCGTTATTGTCGCCAGCGGGGACTTCTTTAATTAGATTTCTCTTAATCGACGCAGATGTTAATATCACAACGCCTCAGGGCATCCAATAATTTTTACAGTAAACAAACAATCCTTTCTGTTTTTATTTGCAAATATCCATCCGCAGTTATTGTCGAATATTCAGCCCTAGTTGCATATCGTTTTTGTAAATATTCCAGTTTTTCTTCCTCTACAAGTTTTTCTTGGTCTTTTTCGTTCTCCCTGCGATACGTCCCAGTGTCTCGTGCGGGGACTCTATGGGAATGCTAACTAAATGTCTAAGGTGCCCAGTATAGGTATGTTGAGGAGATGAAGCTGATAGTGAGACCTTTTGCCCCCGTTGCTTTATGGCCGCATGACGCATGCCTCTCGCCCGTGGGAAACTTGCTTCTAACTCACCATACCTGCACATCAGGCCAATCCAATCACCCGAGACAACGCGGCGCCATGGGGCGGTTTGAGACGTGGCGCCTGATTGGCTGGAGTGGCTCCCCTTTGATTGTGTCGCCTGTCGTCTGCCCAGGTGCGCAGCTGTCAATCAAAGATGGAGGTATTCTCATGTAAAGTAGCCGCACGTGCGGAGTGTTGAATTCGACTGTGGGAAAACTCCGCCCCCTCGATGTTAACTTTAACCACCTGTGTTCGCCATAACATTAGTCTGTCTGGAGAGGTGAGAAACAGTGATACATCACGGCCCTGAGCGACATGTCAGCCTCTCGTATACAGCAGGCACGTCACCTAAACTCGTCTGCCATGGCGCGGGTCTCTAAAATGAAAACACCTGAGAGATTTATTTGAAGAAATCTCACTTGCATTCCCCCTTCAAGCTTTGTTTTCAATTTGAATTGATTAACAAGTTTTCAATACAAAGTTTGTTCCAAAATTCAAAGGTGCGCAGACGACACTTTCACCTGGATGACGTCATCGAGTCGCATGACAAGTGTTGGGAGCGTGGGAAAGAGAGGAACTTTACCGAAATCTTTTTAAAAGTAAATATTTTCAAACTTGCTTAAAGCTTTGTGTAATTTTCCACTTGTGGACGTGGAAACAAAAGTTAAAGCCGCTTTTTATGTGATTTGTTGGAGAAACGTGAGGCTTCTCATGTCATATGTAATCCCCCTACCCTCACTGCAGATCTTTCCACATTTCAAATTAAAGATATTGTTAATCCTTAGTTCAATATGAATCCAATTTCAACATTACCGAGTGTTTAACGAGACACGGATAAATAACTATACAGTACTCCACAAGGTGCGATGTATTTATTGAAACCAGTGCTATTCAGGTTTAGATCTATCCAGTATTTCTAGATATATACTGTGTTAAATTTCAGAGAAAGAGGCCTGGGGGGGGGGGGGGGGGTTCATCGCCTGTTTCCTCTTTCACACATAAAGGAATGTCGAAATTCTATCAAGTCCTAAAGCTTAAGTCTGCTTTGATCAAGGACAAAGCGATAGTAGTTGAAGGAAATGAAAATGTTTGATAGCTCTGTCTCTTCTGTATAAAATGACCAATGTTTTGTTCTGACATAGCTAGTGTACTTTACAGAGCACCCCCCCCCCCCCCCCCCCCCCCCCCCCCCCCCCCCCCCCCCCCCCCCCCCCCCCCCCCCCCCCCCCCCCCCCCCCCCCCCCCCCCCCNGGGCCATAAGACAAAACACGCACACAAACAAGCAGAAGTAGACACAAGATGAAGGGATTAACCCTTGACAGCACTGTCAGCGCTACTGTTTGTTCCTGGAATCCAGTCCTCGGATCAGGGCTCATTCCCAGCCAAGCTATCGGTCTACGTACATCGATCCAACTCCACGGAGACTTACTGAATGCCATCAGTTTAACACGCCTTCTCTTGTTTTCAATGTACACGTATAGTCACCAGCTTTTCTGCAATCTACTCAACGCCAGGAGGAGGCATGTTAATCTGATCAACTGATTGCATTCAGCGAGAATCCCCCAGAGTTGGATCGATCTACGTAGGCCGATAGCTTCAATGGGAATGAGCCCTGAGGTACGTGTACATACAAATAGAGTCGGTCGCTTGCTGTATGCTATCTAAGGGCTTTAGGAAATTGTTTGAAGGTGTAAGAAGGGCCTCTGTCAGAGAGTAAGTCACGTGTTCAGGTAGTTCCTAATCATTTTCCACGTAAATATAGACCGGGAAGTTAAAGCATTGGCACACCCAGCTTTATGTAGAAAAGTATGAGGGAAAAATGACAATCGACAGACAGACGCAAGGGGTTTGATTAATTTTTCGTTGTTTACGTAAGCAAGACGCAGGTATTACTAGGTATTACCGCACGCTTTAGGGCTAGGGGGTATCTCAGAAATAAAGAGAGGAGGGAGAAAGATTCGCTGCCCCCCCAAATCTGTATATGCTATGGTTCATACAGAGTGTTTGTAAGCTGGGGAATTAAAGGGCTAGTATATAGAGAGTAAAATGTCTGAAATATTCACTTCTAACACTCTTCTTCAGATACTTTTGCTTAATAAATATGGGGATGAATGTGCCACACCGATCAACTCGTACAAACTTGTCGAAGATGTACCGGTTTTCACCTGTAGGTTTAAGAGGTCCCAGGTGTCACATACTGCGACATGTTTTAGGAGTTTGTCAAAATGTGCGGTCTTCCTGATTTTTTTAACTCGCTGCACAAAACTAATTAGTTGTTCCTGCACGAGCATCATCCAGGGATAAAGTCACGAAGCAGAATAAGTCAATTGTTTGACAAAAAGGGGATGCGATCGCAAACAACAAAAAGTATATCTAGTTGCTTGGATGTAGGTAAACATTCTGAAAGCAATTTTGAGAAATAAGACCGTCTTCTCGGTAAGAAAAGATTGCAAGTTGAATACATATTACACGCAAGTTTTCTTTTAGAATAAAACGTTTAATACAGATCACTCGTGGCAAAGAATCCCATCACCCTTGTCATGATCTGTTATGCACTCAAAGTTACTATAATAGTATTTTTTTTTAGATTTGCAAACAAAAATTAGACTTATTGAATGTCACTCCAATATTTTAGGACAGAAGGTGTCTCTTGTTAGATACTTTAATATTAGAGTTAAAATATTTCTCAGTGAACTTGTTATATGAAATGAGTGTATTGGAATGCACATTGGCATCGGTATATTCGGTACAAAGGAAAAAGAACGAAATTTATTTTGTGCTCGACTTAAACCTTGCCCTCTCGTACACAATTCTTTCAACAGCGCACGTGATCGTATTAATTATCACGTGTTTGTTGTAATTATCACCTGTGCCTTAACCGCAGAGCTTTGTTTTTATCGTTGATTGTTCAAAGGCAACAGAAGGATTCCAAAGCACGTGTGCATTTGCATAGAATATGAGAGTGCATCGGTACGCGTAGATTTTAATGATTCATTTCTGAATAAGACGTGGACCCGTTTATCTGAACAAAACATAAAAACCTGTCTATTTGAATTGAATAGAAAATACGGGTATTATGAACAGTTTTTGACCCAGTTTAGGTCATTTTACAAAAAGGGAGTATAGGGGCTGTTTTCGTCAGAAAATTTCCCACATTCGCACTATTTTAAGAGTAGGGTTTGGTTTACTCTTCATTTACAGGGGCGGATACGGGGAGGGGGGGGGCATGACGCACTAACTTCAGGGGTAGCATCCTCTCCCCCCTTCTCCCTCCTTCCAAAAATAAAAAAACAGCATTACAAGGAGGACGTACCAATATCAAGCACCTTGTCCATTCCTCTACCTTTTATTTTATATAACATTGAAAGTGTAAACATTAAACCGTTGCACCTCTCCCTCCCTGAAAATCATTGTCCCGATAGTGGCAAAGGAATTACAGTAAGTTATGTGCACTTAACATCAAGTGTTTAAAATTAAACAATTTATCACGACTGGAATACCTTCTTATATGAGGGTTAAACGAAACGAATGTTCGTGATCATATCGTACGGGACTCAATCAGTTCGAAGAAATGAAGAAGTGTATACAATTTAAATAAAAAATGTACTGCTCAAAGTGTGTGTTTTTCTTCTTTTTTTCTTTTTGAAAAATAAGCAAGACCATTTTACTAACATGTTGACTGGTCATTGTACTATATGAGCTGGCCGTTTATTTTTGTTAACACAACCTGGAATCTCAACCCCGGAGACAGGAATGACAGACGTGAGCTGGAGCTGTCCTGAAGACAGTGGATCTATTCTCACTGTAAACGCACCTTACAATCTCCACAAAAATGAGTGAAAAACTTTAAACGTTGTTTGTTATAACCTTGCCACTGTCAAAAAGGCTACAAAAATATTCATTTTGCTCTGATGATATGTAGTATTATGTGTTGTAAAATATGTGTTGTAAAAACTTGTATTATTGTAAGGACGTGTACTGTTGTAAGAACTTGTATTATTGCAAGAAGATAGAAAAAGGTCCATGTTTGAGGGTCAAGGTCAGGAGGGGCATATCAATCTTCATCAGTTAACATCTACACGTGTGCGAAACAACCCTCAACCCGTTTAATGTGATCAGTCTATGTCAACCCCTAAAATATAGTCCCAACAATTGCGTGACAGGGCTTATTATCGTTAAACTGTGCCCAAAAAGCCTTAGTGAAAGGCTTGCGCATTCTCTGTGTCATGTTTTTTTTTCGTCTTTGGAAGTTCGCTAACGTATTTTCTATAGCTGTTGTCAGTTTTCAATCTACGCATTCCTGAGCAAGACAGGAATCTCGCAGTCGCATAAGCTGAGGGTGTCTTTCTTCAAATCCAAAGAATTTTGCTAAAAAAATCGTATTCTGTATTGTCTTATCCTTGCTAGAGTAAGTCAGCTATATCTGACTTTACCCAGAATGTCTTTGGCTTCAACTCTGTCGCCTGAGAACTTGGGAAATGTTAACGTGTTTTACAAAAAACAAAAAGAAGTAAGGAAGCCTGTTCACAAAGATGTGCTTTTATTATTTCAATGTTTTCTGGTATTCCGTTTGAATTATGAAACCAAAATAACGACAAAATGAAAGTATCAAATTGTTGTTATATAATTTACTTAATTTGATTAATTAACTACGCAACTAGAAAATACATGAACGCGAGATTTGTCATTTTAATGTTTTAGGGGGTTCCGTTTGATTTAGGAAGAGCCACACAACTGCCAAAATTAATATTCCAACGGTAAAATAATTATTCACCAGGAGTGGTGTGTTTGATCAAGATTACCAGGCAACCGGAAAATACATGAACGCGAAGTTTAGTTAATCAGACCAAACTTTCTGTCCCCGTTTTCAGGTGAAAATGAAACTCAGCGTTTCTGTCGTTATTCAAATGAAGCAGCAAAAAATAATAAAAATAATATAATAAATTCAATAAAGAGACAAGGTACCAGGCAGTTACTGGTGCAGAGCTCTGATATAGGATTTCGTTAAATTATTTTACCTTTATTGTATTTTCTTAAGGTCATGTTCCCAGATAATACTCCAGTGGAAGAAATGTGTTAACGAGAGTTTCGCATGTTGGTTGTAATGTTACGCTTATATTGCCTTTCTCTTCAGGAACATTACCAGGGATGTGTATAGAGTTTATACAGTGCGCCGTAATATTTGCCTGCGTAACCTAATCAAGAGATTAGTGGTTTTAAACTTTTCTTTTAGAAGCTAAAAAAAAGGAAATATGGAAATAATTTTTGCCCGTGTATCCCTCAAATTATCCCCTGTCCTTTTCCCTTACCATGTGGTAAAAAACAACCCCCTCCCCCCCCCACCCCTCGCCCTCCTCCTCCTCCACCAGTGTCAAAAGCCGTTCAACTTTGAAGAAGAAAGAGAATAAATCTAGCACTGTTCCACAAACCCCGCTCCGTAATTG